CTTACTGTCCTGGTTTTTCATTTGTTTGTTTGTTTGTTTGTTACCTGCGATTGAGCCCAGGGGCACTTAACCACTGAGCCACATCCCCAAACTTTTTTTTTTTTTTTTGTATTTTAATTGGAGACAGGGTCTAACTGAGTTGCTTAGGGCCTCACTAAGTTGCTGAGGCTGGCTTTGAACTCACAATTGTTCTGCCTCAGCCTCCTGAGCCAGTGATTACAGGTGTGTGGCACCACACCCAGCTCCTGGTTTGTTTTATGGAGATGATGATTGTTCCTACCTCCTAGGGTTACCATGCACATTACCTTATAGTATACATCGGAAGCATTTAGCACAATGCCCAGCACAGAAATGGTGCAATAGTAGCTGCTATCATTTTGCATGTGCCACTGAGATTTTTAATTTTTACATTTTATTATTTATTTATTTACCTAGAGGTGACACATACCAGTATCGCATTTCATTGATTAAAGCTGGCAAAGCCCCACATTTCATTGGTTAAAGTCACATGACCAGTTACCATCAAAGAAGACTGAGGACTTGCAGTCCTACCTAGTGCAGGAAGACAGAGAGCAGGAAATATGTAAACAGCACTAATGACTACTACACTAGCCAAATGACCTTTGAGCTCATTTCCTCTTCTGCAAAATGCGGATGATAACAGTGTTGACCTCACTGTTATGAAGGTTTAATAAGAAAACTTAAACAACACTTATGGTCCAGTGTGGCCATAGGATGGATGCAAGATCTCCTTATCAGCAGCCCCTCTGTGTACAGCACAGATCCGCATGCCAAGGCTCCCTTCTGACTGCAAACTTCCCTTGGCTTCCTAGGCTCCACCACTGAGTGGTTGACAGAGAATGGATAATTTCCTGCAGATCTGCCTCTGCCATTCCCGGACCTCACACCCATGACCTAAACCAAGCAAATCTCATTGCCATAACCTCCTCCTCCCCCAGCCTCACCTACACTCACCTCTGAGACTCCCTCTCTCTCCCGGAACTTTGTTATGACAAATCCATTGGAGAAGGAATACAGAATCCAAGGGAAATGCAAAAAAAATTAGTAGCTATTTTGTGCTGACTGCCAGCCTGGATGCTTGACCCATGTTACCTTGTAATAGCCCAGTGAGGTGACTGTTCTAACATTTTGAGATGCAGGAGCTGATGCTTGTTGCAGTTACATCACTAGAACAGGGTTATACAGCTAATGAGTGGCAGAGCTAGGATTGGAGCCTAGATCTCTATGTCTTAAAGACCACAGTTCAGCTGAGGGGCTGTCTTTTGTTATTTCATTCAGACTGAACTTCTGTCAGGACTATAAACTCACTGACAGCCCAATCTCAGATGTTTGGCTGTTGGGTTCCTACTGTGCTATCATGGAAACGGCCCTGCTTTGGAAGTATAGGGACTAAACTTTCAGTTTTACTGCTCAGCCTCTGACCTGTCTAACCTAAATCTCACTGTACAATGCAACTTTGGATAGTCCCTTTCATCTGTGGGCCTGTTTCTTCATCTGAAAATAAAGGAATGCATTAAGTGACCCAGGGGGTTCTTTCCAAGCTGAGGATTTGGTGACATAGTCAACTACCTTTGGCCCCAATATTGTGTCAGAAAGCATTGTAAAGTAGAAGGGGTGGTGGTGAAGATTTCATGTTTGAGGTTATATGGAGAATTCTTTAAATACTAATTATCATTTGAAACAAAATAAGATTTTTTTTTTTTAAGACCAGTGGGGTGTTTGTAATCCACAACAGTTCTCTCCTTCCCTGCTATTTATAATAACCTCTGGCTTCCTTTGTGGCTAAGTCTGTCTCCCCCTATAACAGAGGAAGTGAGGCTGAACCCATGCCTGAGCTCAGACCTTCTTAGTCTACAGCCCTGTGGACACTCCCTGGGGTTCTGAGCTCCTGCTAGCAGGCAAAACTGGGTTCTTTCTCTGGGAGAACACTGGAAGTTGTGGCTGGACGTCTGCTGGAGGATAGGTTAAGGCCCATTCTCCCATGGAATCAAGCACAGCTGCCGGGGGTTAACACTGGAGGTCCAGAACTCCATCTTCTGCTCCCAGAATTTGAGGTCAATGCTCAGATTTTGCAAATGCCAATGCTCAGTACTAACACTGAAGAAAATAAAAAGGGAGATGGCTCAAGGTCAGGCCACCCTTGGAGACATTTCTAGGGCCTACATGTATCTCTTAGGTGTTTTGATTTGTTCCTTTGGGGTTGCTGTTGAGAGCTGAGACGTGCCTGAGCAAAATCTCGGCCAGATGGCTGCCCCAAGTCGCTGCTGGAGTATTTTAACTACAGTAGCGTGGGAGCTTCCTGACTTGGAGAGGGCTCCCCACACCTCCCCCAGGTTCCCATCTGCCCAGACGCCCACAGCTCATGTCAGGAGAAATGATGGAGGCCCCAAGATGCCTGGGGGAAGGGCCTCAGTTCGGGACAAATCCTGGGACTCAAACTCCAGTCCAATTTTCTACTCAGGGCCTGTGTGTGTGTGTGTGTGTGTGTGTGTGTGTGTTTCTGTCAGGCAGAGAGGAAAGTACTGGGGATGCTATGTGCCTTATATAGCTGATTCTAAGAAACTTCAGGGTTTGGAGAGGAGGGAAGGAAAGAAGAGTAGCTGAAAGGAGACAGAAGAAGTGGGAATAAGCCAGAGAGGAAGCAGGGGCTGTGCTGAAGCTGGACAGAGACAGAAAAGGGCAGGGATTGTCCTAGGCTTCCTCTGACCTGTCTAACCTAAATCTCCCAAGCTGCAGTTTAAGCCTCTTTTCTACCTTGAATCCCCGTGTTAGCTTCTCACCTATGGGAGCGGAGCTCAGGAGTCAGTCTGGACCCTGGGCTGTCCTGCTGCTCCCTGGTGGCCCAGGAGGGAGTTGCTTGAGGTGATCAAAGTAACCAAAATCCTGAGGCCCTGATTCTAGGAGGTCTGAGTTTGCAGCCAATGTGTCTCTTTGCTTGTCCTAGCTGGACACTCTGGATTGTGGCCTGGAGGATTGCAGAGGGGGTGGGCAGTGGCTCTGGTAGCATTTCCCAGCAGTTGAACTGTGAGTCAGAAGGGTCACCTACTGTCGGAAGTTACAGCCGACCTCCTGCAGGCAGGAAACCAGAGTTGGGCCCCAAAGAAGCCTAGAGATGGGTGGGTGGGAGAGCAGTTTTGCAAAATGCAGCATTGCCATCTGGGAGGGCTAGGCCTGGAGGCTGTTGGGCCTGCAAGAAAACCCTAGGCTAGCCCAGCTCCCATCCTCCTGGCACTTGCTTAGAGGTGATCTGGGGAGTCCAGAATCATATGCACAAATTCAAATTCTGAGTCTGTTGCTTATATGCTGGGTGAGACTCAGTTTCCCCATCTGCAAAGTTGAAAAAGAATATTAAAGTCTAGCTCAGGGGTATAACGATGAAATAACATGCCCATGAAGTACCTTGTTTGTGTTACGCTGCTCCCTATCGCTAATTTTGGTTGGAAGATGGAGAGAGAATGCCCAGGATCTGACTCCTCAACTCTGCTGGTTTCCGGCTCTGGGAGTGTTCAAATGTTAGTAAAGGGTGCAAGATCTCACCAGGAACCCCCTACCACAACCTTGGGGGTACTCCTGCTGATGGCAGCCTTCTATTTGCCCTGAGGATGAGAGGGTGTTGATGTGACCTTGAAATCTGCTGTTGAAATTTTCTGTTTTTTTGGTTTGAACTTAATAGGTCAAACCATACAGGGATCTGGGCTCCTGGATAGAGTAGTTATCTGGGGTGTTAGGGGGACGGTGGAGGAGACAGGACAGGAAGATGGCACTAACAGATAAATTCTCCGACCCTAACCTATATCCTTACCAAAATCTCTGACATGGTTTCATCATCTGAGGGTGATGCAAGAGGCTTGGAGTCAGACTCCCCTTTCTCCCCTCCCCCAGAGATCTCAACTCACATCTGGAGTTGCAGCTGGGTAGTCCTCTTGGGCCCTATCCAGGGGAGGGAGCTGGGTGAAGTGAGGGAAGGGAGGGCAGCTGGTGAGGGGCTCTGTGAATGGCCCCAATGTTGGAGTTGGAGGGCAGGAAGGAGGAGTCCAGTCTCAGAGGGAGGAGAGGTGGACTGGACAGGGAATTGTGTCTCCACAGCACTGGTCTCCTCCTCCATAACTGCCCTGTGTTAAAGTCTCCATGGCACCCCCTTGTCCTTTATATCCATTCGTGCAGGCAGCTGCACTCATTGGCCTTCCCTTCCCACCCACTTCCCCACCCAGCCTCTCCATCCAGGTGCCCTTGGAGTTGAGTGCCCCCTTTGTTCCCTCCTCTTCCTGGGGCATCTCAAGCCTCCCACACTGACCCCTCTGCCCCCACTGCCACAACAGAGTGTGAGCCGGGCCTGATGGGTCATCCGTGGGTCATAAAGGTCAATGGGACTGTGGTCTAGACGTATGGAGAGCCCAGACTGAGCTAGCAGTCTGGCCAGAAAGCTATCAAAAGATGGACTTAAATGCTGCAGGGTGGAGGTGGGGGGAATTTTACTTAGACATCAGCAAGAATCCCCTTCACTAAAGGTTGGCGAACTTACTGGAATAAATGCAGAAGGGAAGCTTTGCTGGCCTTTTCAAACTGTAAACCGCTAATCACTGTGGGATGCTTTGAAGCAGCGCGCTGCCCCGAAGGCCAGGTTTCTTACCCGTGCTTAGCCACTAACTCGCTGTGTGACCTTGGGTAGTTCCCCTCTTTGCATGTTTCCTCATTTTTGAAAGGAAGGTCCCAGTGAAGCTGAGGTTCTGCGACTCCGAGGATCCAGGCTTCTGCGTGGTTGGCTTCTCCCGGCAGTCCCAACTACCCCCAATTCTTCCCGCCCCCAGCAACCCGGTGGACCCGAGCCAAGAGATCCCTTTAAAGGCTCAAGTCCCGCCCCTATTGCTCTTTCGGGCCTTCGATTGGTGGCTGCAGGGTGGGGCGGGGCCCGGCGCGGCTCTGCAGGGCTTGGGGGCGGGTCCTGGACCGGGTCGGCCCCCGCCCCCTTTGTTCGCGCTGCGGCGGGAGGTGGTGGCCGGGGTGGGAGGTGTGTGAGCGCGTGTGTCGCGCAGTGGGGAGCAGTGGGTCGCGCTGCCGGCTGTCAGCTAGCTACGCGCCGCCGCCCGATGGCTCCAAGAGGTGTGCTGGATCGACCCCGGGGGGCCGGCAGTGGGTAAGCCCCTCTGCCTGTCTCCCGCGAGCATGACACCTCCAGCCTCGGCGACAGCCTTCGCCAGCAGTGCCCGCGCTCCCGCCTCCGGCAGCCGCAGCCACTGCCTTGGGCAGTGGCCCCCGGACCCCCGCCCTTGATCCACGCCCAGACCCTAGCGTCAGAAGACCATGGCTGGCCAAGGGGACTGCTGCGTCAAGGTGGCGGTCAGGTAGGGACCGACAGCGGGAAAAAGGAGCGTGAGCGGCGGGGCTCGGGCTTTGTCTCGGGTGGGCTTGGAGCCGGGGGCACGGACATCGCTGGAGCTGGAGCCCGCACTCCCGGAGGAGGGGCCGGCGTGGGCCGGGCTGAAGGGCGCCGCGCGCTGGCCCCGCTGCCGCAGGGGAGCGGCGGCCCGGCGGACTGCTGGAAGGTGGCTTTGTTTGGGTGGTTAATTTCGGGCCCCTCTTGGGAGCCCTTAATGATCAGAATATCGAATAAACAAGGAAATCCGGTATTTCACACCCAGCCCTGGCCCAGGCCGGGCGTCTGTGCGTTTCCTCTTCGCCTCCCCACGAGGCTGCTGTCTCATAGCGGGATATCGGAAATTTTTTTCGCCCTCATCTACCCCAGTAAGCTAGTTCTGTGCTCGGTCAGGCTAGTCAAGGCAGCACACCCTCCTGGAGCTCGTTCTGCAGAGATGGGTTCTAAGACCACAGAAGGGCTGGAATGGTGCTTTGGCCTAACGTGGAGAGTCAATGGAAAGAATCCTGCAGGGCCTGCCCCAAAAGGAGATGGGGTGAGAGGAGGGGGGATTAGGTATATTTGAGAGGCTACCTTTGAGAGGACAGGAGGGTGTGACACTGGCCCATCCTCCGGCACTCAGGTGAAATTGAACAGGGAAGGGTTGGGTAGATTTTTCTGGGGGTTCCATTCCTGACAGCTCTCAGATGTGAAGTGATCTGACAGAAATTAGGCTAGAGAGGGCATGGCTGGGTAGGTTCTGTTGGGAGGGGCACACAGAGGTACAGGGACAGGAAATACTGCAAAGTTGAACCATCTGTGTTCTTTGTGCTGGGTGGAGATGCTTTACACCACACTGCCTCTCCCTGTTTTTATTTGGGGGTTTTCTCTTTGAGAGGGTGTATTAGGAGAGTACCAATCTGGGACTTCACCAAGGCAGGGATGTAGAGAGGCTTTGCACAGCTTTGTATGATAGGGGGAGTGGAGGGTCTATGGTGGGTCCCTGAGACAGTCTCCAGATCCCCTGGGTCAGAGATGACCCAGATTCCAGGGGTACTGGGAAGTTGCTTTTAGACAGGGCCAGAAATGATAATGGATGAAGGCCCCACTTCCTGTCCCAGGGCAGATGCCCCTAGCCACCTGGACAGTCCTCTGCATCCTAGAGAGGAGGCATTGAGGCTGATTCCAGATCTGAGGCTGAGGGAGGGAGATTAAGGCCCTGCACCCTGTACCCCAGGAAGCATTCAGAGCATCACTTGAGTACAGCCTTCCTGGCTCCGAGCAGCCTGAGACAAAGAGGAGCCCTGCAGGTGCCTGGTGGGCTGACTGGGGCGGGGCCAGGCTGTCGCTGGGGCTGACATTGCAGCAGGAGCCCTTGGAGGTCGAGAGAGGGAGGTGCACGGGTGGGGAGTGGGAGTGAGAAATGTAAATATGGCATCTGCTGCAGATGGGGAGAGTCCAGCGCCATAAAAGGGAAATGAAGCTGCAACCCCCATCCAGTGTGAACCAGGGCTGGGAAGAAAGGAGCTTGGGGTGCCCCTTCCAGGGGGGCTTTCCTTTAGACTCCATCTTGCAGGAGAGAGTCAAACAAAGGCCCTCCACATCTGTTCAGGGTCCCCAGCCTGGGCTGGGACATGGTAAGATGAGGGGCTTCCCAGGGGGTGGGGGGGAGCCTTAGGGGACAGCACATTATGTCAAGGGTGAGAAGCCAGTGCTCCCTTCACATTACCAGAATAATCCTGGGGCCCTGTCCACAGAGAAAGGATTGTGCCTGCTCTCTGCACCCAGTGCTTTAGGGTGATCTTCCCAGTCAGATGGTCCTAAGTGAGGTCCCCATACCTTGCCTTGAGTGGCTGATCTGGAAGGAACCCTGCATCAAAAGAGCCGGGGCTTTCAGGGGCTGCAGGAAGGTAAGGGCCCCGCCCACTCCTCTCTGCCATCGGCTCTAGCTCTCCAGCTCAGCTTGAGCGCCCAGCCCGGCACACGCCAGACCTCAATGGGCAGCCGGCCGTGGAAGGCAGACAATGCCTGGACAGAACCCAGTTTCTAATCAGAGAACTGAGGGTAGGACTGGGCCAAGGCTGGGCTGGGAGGGGGAGCAGATGGTGCCAGTAACGAGCCATAGGGGGAGTTCTCCTTGTTTTGGATGTCCTATCTCCTGCCCCCAGAAACCACTCGTGCCACCTAAAGGATTGGGTGTGGGGCTGCAGTCAAGTAGAGCACTTATGAGAAGGGCCAAGGATTTGGAATTGCCTATACCTACTGCTTCCCCAGGGCTTACTACCTCCTGCCAGGTTCAGCTATCTTTTTGACTTCCTGGAAGTCCTTTGTCCCTAACTGAAGCCTTTCTGAACTCCCATGAGATTAACTTGTGATGAACCCTGGAGTCCAGCTCTTGGGACAGGGAGCCAGGATTGAGACAGACTTGGGCTGATGTGTGTGCTTAGGAAGAGAGGCCCAGGCTGTTCCACTAGGTGAAGTTCCAGGCCCTGGCCTCTTGGGCTCTAATCTGGGATGAGGATCAAAGCTGGCCATCTGCAAAGTGCTGCTGGGAAGGCCTGGGCTCCGGAAAAACCCGAGGAAATTTGCAGGACCTGGGGCTTCAGGATTAGGGGAAAATGTCCAGGTGTATGTAGGCCCTCAAAGCCCCACCCCATTGCCTCCCCAGCTAGGTGGAGTCAGGCCCATCTGCTCCTGAACTGGGGCTAGTCAGTTCTTTACCAAGAGATCCCAGAACAGTCCCCTCAGGCCTGCCCTCTGATCCCTTTATCCATTAATCCCCTTGTACTGTAAGGACTCTCAGCTTCCTGGGCTGGGCTAGAACTGGCCTTTACCTGGGGGTGGGGGAGGAGGACATGTAGCACAGCTAGAGAGAGGTGAGGCTGAGCTGTAACCCGGGGCCAGCTGCAGAAATACAGGCCTGACAAATGTTAAGAGATGCAAGTTGGCAAAGTCGAAATTGGGGAAGGAAGCCAAGTCACATGGTGAGTTTATTTAAGACCCTTTCAAGCCCCCAGCTCTGAGCCCCCACCATGAGGGGAGCCCTTAGTGTTGCGTTGCCTAACCCCCTCCCGCTTATCTCTGCCTAGCTTCCCTAAACTTCCTTCCTTTAGTCTGCAGGGGAGGGGGAGGTGCCTTGGCCAGTCCCACATCCATCCGTTGAGAATACAGGGTTGAACAGGGTAGCAAGGGAATTGAGGGGAGCCCCAGCTGGGGACCCAAGGGACAGTGTTAGAGTGGACCCCTGTCTTCTCCCATTGGGGTTCTCTAGCTGCAATTATTTCCCTAGTTCCAGACTAGTCTGAAATCTTGGTCCATAGCTATCTAAATTTTCAATCAAGAGCATTGTGGGATTGGGAGAATGAAGAAGACTGAACTATGGGGGTGGGCATGTGGGTGCCTTCAGGGTCCCAAAGCCATTCAGAGCCAACTGCATCTCATGCTTTCCAGTTTGCAGAAACTGAGGCCTTGGCAGGAGCTCTGAGGGTTGTGTGGAGACCTGAGAGTCCTGGTGGTGGCCTCCTGCTGCATTGACAGGGCTTACATCATCACAAGGAAGTGGAGTGTAGTAGCCACAAGCCCCGGAAACCTCCCCTCCTCCACCACCCAGCCAGCATGCTTGATTGGTTCTCAGCTTTTGTAAACCTAAGGGTGGGGCTGGGGCTGGGGCTGGGAGGTAACTGAGGTGACACATGCCTGACACCCTTACTCTTACAGCTCCGGGAGCAAAGGGCAGGGCTGGACTAATGCAATGTATCTGCTAAACGGGTCATGGGTCCCCTTTCCTGATTGTCCTTCTGGGCCTCAGTTTTACTCACTGGGGAATGGGGACACCTGGTTTGTTCTGATTTTTTCATTTATGCAGAGCAGAGGTTTGAATGAAGTAGAAGGCATTTAATTCTTGGAGGGAACAAAATACAGGTAGATACCTTCAGAGTCAAGTATGAATAAAATGTTTAAAAATAAGCCCTAATTTAAGTATACCTAAGAAGTATCTCCCTAATTTTAAGCCGCAGTGAATTATTGGGTAAAGTGATTCAAAGTGACTCCACCTATTTATTTATTCAGAGCAGAAAGCCTGCTGTGGTAGAAAGGAGAGTGAACTAGGAAGTGGCTTAGCACTATGATTTGTTGAACACTTACTTTGTGCCAGGCACTGTGCCTGCATTATCCTATTACACCCACCAAGAAACTGAGGCTACTCTCCTTTTATAGACAAGTGAACACAGCAGCAGATGCAGGAGGCTGGATCTGAACCCAGAGCACTCCTCTTTGCAAGCACGTGGCTCCTCAGACTGCTCTAAGCCACCTCCAGTCCAGCTGCTAATTGGCTAAGTGTTCTGGTCTCTGCTTCGGTTTCTTCAAATGCTTTACTTCTGTACACAGTTGCCCTGGAGGAGAATGTGGGAGAAGCGCACAGCGCTGTGCAGCTGTGTGGCAAGGGATTTGCCTTACCGGGTTACTTGGCATAGGGCTGCCCATCCCCACCGTGGCCCTAGTTCCTAAATCCTTGTGGTTTCCTTTTGGTTTGGGGGAGTTCCTGCCTCTCCATTCTCTTGGCACTCTCTAGAGGAGGAGGTTCTGGGGCTTCCAAGTCTTCTCCTGCTGCCACCCCTCCTCCCTCAGCCAAAGGTTAGAACCCCAGGCTTCCTGGGCCTCATGGCCTTTCATTTTACCCTCTGGACAGTCTTGCAATTGAGGGCATTAAGGAGGAAAGCAGAGTCCTCCTACCCCCGCTTAGAACAGCTGGAGGGAGCACTTCCAGGGAAGGAGCAGGGCTAAGACAGATCCACACCCCCCATCCTATGGAGGGAGAGGGGAGACTGGGGCGGGGACAGTGAAGCCCCAGGCTGGCAGCAGTGTGGACTGCAGTGTTCTCTGGAGGACTCCCCCTTTTACCTCCAGCTGCTCTGAAGCATGGAAAAGTGGGCATGCCATGGTTCCTGTCCCCAGATGCTTAAGTCCCTGTACCTCTGTCTTCTCGGTGGC